AAACTATCAGAAAAGACAACAGCCTGTTCTGCATTGGTGAGACGGATATCTTCTGAAGTCTATAGGCCAATTATTTGACCATATTAACTGGCATGGTATCTCTGAAGTTAATGTAATTTGGCCAAAAAATTTATGCCAGCTGAGTATCTTCTAGGTCTCATGCAGTGAATAGTACTATTAGCAGAATTTTAGTGCCTATATTCACATTTTCAGCAGTATAAACCTGTTTCCTTTTCAAACATTTAAAGTAATATAACTAAAGACAGTTGTTGATGTTCACTGGAAAAAACTTGAAATGTTAGTAGATTGCAAGTGACACATATCAGTTTGACATTTCAGACCAATTCCATCCGGAAATAATGCTCTATTACTGAAGAATTAATGTGAAGTGTGTGATTTTGGCACCAGAAAGATCAGTGTATAAGACCAATTAGAGATAAAAGAAGTCACTAAACTTGTTTACACAGCTGGACTTTCAGTCACAGACTGATCTCCTCCTTTCATGTGCTGCTTTTTCTTTTTTCTTTTGCTTTCTTTTCAGGGTCTGAAATTTAAAGGCACAGAGTAGAATATTTTGAAAGTCATTTGCCATTACATTGACTTCATTTTCTCCCTGGAGTGTTCAGTGCCCTAATGCACCATTACAAAATCCTATGAGTGCTTTTGGCTAAAGGATATGGTAATTGCAGACACATTATATAGCAAAGCAGTAGATTCCTAGGGGTTTCTAGGCAGAAGACTGACCTGAAGTATAAAATTCAGAGCAAAATTTTCCTGCAAATAATGCTTAGTTGCCCTTGTTCTTTGGACTCAGTAGTGTGACTTGGGAAGCTCAAATTTGGTTCTATTTCCAATTACTATTTAAAGATGTTGTGCAAAATGGAGCAGCTTCAACAACAGCCGCTGGGTAAACAACACTTTTGACTGCTATGAGACCAGAATTAAAGTACCTTTCAAAGGGGTAAACCACCCAATTTTAAATCCTTGCTCTAAATAAATACAGGTTTGTATTTGCATGCAGTAAAATATTCAGAGACATCACTGGCATCTCATCAATCAGACACTCCAGCTGTCAGTAATATGACAAACAGATGCCTTGCCACTAATAATCTATCTCTGAATATGATTAAACTCTGGAACAATCTGTGTTTTCCAAGGTTCAATTTCAGGTTGGTTCACTGAAACTAGCCTACCAGATCTATCAGAAATAATATGACTGAAGTGTGGCTGCATGATTTTTATATCTCTCCAGGTGCATTAATTGGCCAAGAATTCTTTTTCAGTCCTTGCTCTTTTATCTCTAGGGAACTATTGGTACTGTCAGAGACAGGGCTCTGGCTTGGTTTGACCTTCAGTCTAAATCAACCCATTCCTGTATCAGCTCCTGACTTTTCACTTTGACAGTATTTTCCTCCAAATTGTTTGTTTGTTTGTTTGTTTGTTTGTTTGTTTTTTTGTTTTCCCGTGAGTCAAGAGATGGTCCCAAAGATACCAGTTATATTTGAGTACTCATTTCAGACAAGCATCATCAGTTTGTCAGAAGCTGGCCAGGCATCATGCAAGTCTTGGCATGGGAAAAAAAAAGGCCACAGCAAGGAGAAAATATTATTCTGGAGCTTTCTGTCAGATAAAAAAACTTCACAGTGAGTAATTCCTTGTTTCTTTCCTCTGATAAAGCAAATTTTTTGTGAAGCTGGACCTATATCTCACACTTGATAGTACCTGCTCCAAGGATCAATAATAGGATATAACTTTGGATAATAAGGGCTTTCCCTTATTACCCAAGTCATGTAGACTTGTGTTCAAGTCATGTAGACTGCATCATTCACAAAGTGACTGTTGGCCCATAGTTTCTATGTGGCTATACTTATAGTAGTAGAGGGGATAGAGTATGCACAGTAGGCCACATCTCCTTATGTTATATGGCAGTGGAGAATATGTGAAGCTGAGGATGTGTGACAGGGATGTGACAGCTCAGAAATGCTCTAGTAAATCCTCTAACAGTTGTTTCCACCACTAGCACTGTTATGTCTCCAGAGCAAGAAAATTTCATTGATGAATGTAGACTGTAACGTTAGACTTAGGCTATAATACTTGAGCATGTTCTTGAAAGAGGTATTTTCCCCCAGCTGCTTTCCTAAAAAAAAAGAGTCCATATACTACGTACAGATGTCAAATTACTACCCTAAGTGTACCAACATGCTCTGCAGCCTCCACCCCTCCTCCTAGGGGTTTGGTTGACTGTGCTCAAGGCCACATCTCATATGGTGCAGCTGTAACGTGGATACATGATGTAGGTATGAGGTGCCTTTTCAGGGCCTCCCCACTTTGCTCAGGAACTACTTTTGAGCTCAGACATTTTCCCCTGGTCTATGCCACAGGGATGCCCATCCCTGGTCATGTCCCTCACTGGTCCTGACCCTTACTTGATGTCCTGGCTGAACCTGGAGTCTGCCCGGTCCCTATGGACATGTGTGTGATCTGGACTGTGTCTGACTTTCATTATTGCCAACGGACCCACTCTGCAGGAGAGGGCACTGCCTGGCCAACCCCTCTGCCTGCTGTGGTTCCAGGCTGCCAGAACCCCTACCCCCTCCCCCCCCCCCCCCCCCCCCCCCCGCCCTTGCTGAGCAGCCTGCTCTTGCTGCTCCGGGCAGCAGACCTTTCTCTCTGTGCTGTCTGGGCACCCACATGCTAATTCACCATTTAATCAGTTCCTGTTTACTGAAGATAGAGTTAACATCACTGATTCCTGTAGTCTTTGAAATGATGTTCATCACATTTGATGATATTCCCTCCCATCCCCACCCCCCACATTGGCAATCTGTTCTTCTCCCTTGGCAATATTATCTTTTGCTCTTAAGGAGAAACTCCTTTGCTCATGTAGACCATGTTCTATAGGCAATATTTTGGCAAATACATTTAATTTTCTGCATCTTTCTAAAAATGTCAAACATTATCCTTATCTGTTTACATGTGAATGTGTACTTATCTGTGTACATGTTTACATATATTGCTTCATAAGCTGTATTTTAGAGGTTACCATCATTGAACTCCTCCTGCCTTTCCACTCTTGATTACTTTATTTCTTGTGTTTTGCATTTCCTATCATATCCATCATATCTGAATATCAGTCTGTGGGCTTTGATTTGAACTGATTGGCTTTACATAGTTAATTTTGGATCTTTCAGTAGACTCTCTCTGAGTGTTTTGTTCCAGATCCCTTTTAGTGTTTTGCTCTCTTATCAAGGACTCCTAAAACTGGGGCTTGGCTCAAGTAACTTTTCTATTTTTTCAAATTCTTGCAGTATCCTCTGTTTAAAATTGTGTTACTCTTATATTCTATTTTTATGTGGAATGCAGTTCTCAAATGCCTGCATTACATCTTCAGTGTTAGCCTTGTCTGGCTGAGTTGACTGAAACTATTAAAAACCTCAAGTGCTTCAGAGCAAGCTATTGTGAGAGATAAAGCTTCCTCTTGCCTTTTTTTTTTTTTTTTTTTTTTTTGTCCATTTTGGTTTCCATTGCTTGCAGATACAAAGTAAAGCACTGGGTTTAGACTTCTCTGGTTGTCTTCCACATTTCTAAAGTGTTTCAGCTCTGGTGGGGTTTTTATCTGCTCAATTTTTCTGCTCAGGGTAGAGTTTTAGCTCATGCAGTGATTTCTGTTCAAATAAAGGAGTCTGACACTTGGGGTCAAAGCTCTATCTAATCACTTCAACTGGTCTCTGCTCAGAGCAAAACAGCTCTTTCAAGCTTTTCTTAAAGGTAATGCTCTACAGAAGTGGCAGGAGATTGGGTCAGCAACATTTGCAATCAAGTAGTGTTTTGTAATGCAGCAACATACATGTGAAGTGTAGCAAAATGCCCAAATTACCTGATGATCAGGACAGTGTGTCTGTGTGGGTAGGAGGGTGATGTGTGAAAAATCGATACGAGCCTATTCTTCTTTCTGTACATATCTCAGGCAGAGGGAAGAGCAACTCTCAGATGTAATCCAGCTGGAGGGTGGGCCTGAGGGGAGCCAAGAGGGTACTATAAAGGCATTATTACTCTTACAGCAAGCAGCTAGATGACGGAGCCTGGAGGCAAAGCTCTAGCGCTGAGATCTTCTTGGATGTTTACTTAGGGTTCTGGCTTCATCCCACCAAAAGGCCATGATGGGTTAAAAAGGTATCTTCCTGGAGCAGAAGAAGACCAGTGCTACAGCAAAACCCAAACAGTATTGCTCTATGGTCACAGAGGCTGAATGCCATTACAGACCTCTCTGTATTCCCTATAACTGCCCAAAGGGCTGTTCTATCCAAATGCTCTTGTGCATTCAAACTCAGCTTGCCATCCATGTACAAATTAACTGGATTGAAGGACAGAAACCGTAGTGCCTTGCCTTCCCAGAAACTAGTAGGAAATTCTTTTCACCTTTTTATTGTTTAAAATTATTCTTTGTATTGATTTTTCCCATTTTTATCTATTTAATAGCTAAACATACTTTGTTTAAAGAAAAAAATCTGGTCTCATAACTCTTTTTGGACTATGCATTAAAAAAACCCAGTGTAGTTGTAGAACTTCAGTTGGATTTACTCCTTTCTGCACAAACTGCTGCCCTAGATGACCTTTCCTCATCATGTGCCTTTGGGGATGTGTTCCAAGCATATTTTCTAACAGCTTCAGCAGCAGTAATAGTAGCATCCAAGCATCAGTTAGCAGTTCTACAATGTAATGTTTTTCATCTTCAAAGCACTTTACAGACATTAGTGAATTAATAATTGAGCATCAGATACTGAGCAGGCATAAATCTAACACATTGAAGGATCTCAGTGGAATCATGCTGAGGATAAAATAATTTTGAAAAACACTGAAATCCTGGTCATTTGCATGCTCTTGAAAAGAGGTAAATAGATCAACATAACAGATGCTATGTGCTGGTAGAAATGTAGGAATTTCTCAAACCTGTGGGTGAATTTCAAACAGAAACACAATAAAATCTGACCACACACTGGTACATCTCCCAGTACAAATTTTATTTGGTTAGAGTTTTAAACATCAAATATGAAATACTTAGGCTCCCTGGAACGTGGGTTGAATCCCAGCAGGATTGACTCAGCTCTTGATCCTGCAATGCAGAGAAATTGAATTCTAATATTTTTCCTCTATGTGACCTGGATGAGACAATGCAAATAAAGGTTCTCTCTGCTTGACATGTAGAGAAACCCCACCAGTAGGAATCGTGTAGGTAGATAAATTAAGAGCCACAGTTTCATATTCACCTTATTCTAGCCTTTATTTTTGGCAGAAACAAACCTGCAAATGCAGATTAGCTGTGACTATTGTTTTGTACACAGTCTAGTAGAGCTGGAAAGAATCCAGAAGGCTCACATAGTCCATCTTCTTGTGCCAAAGCTGCATAAGCTCTACTCATGTCATTGCTGTTAGATGCTTGTCTAAATGGCTCTTAGAGCTTGCCAAAATATAGCCCTTTTCAAGTAACCCATCGCTGAGATTCACTGTCCTCACCGTTATAAAGTTCTGCTGAGTATCTAATGGAAGTTGTCTTTGCTGAAGATTAGTCTTTTTCTTTTTTCTTTTTTTTTTCTCTCCTAGACTCCACTTCTGTGGAGACTGCTCCCTTCTTTGCATACTTGAAGGTAATTCTCATGCCGCCTTCATATTCTCTTCCTTCAGATTTGGCTGTTTTCCCACAGAGAGTTCTTGAGACTGTGAGATATTGTATTAGAAAAAGAGCAGTCGGTGAGTAGGATCTTGCTCTAAACTCATAATAAAGAGCCCTGCTGCTCCAGGAGCAGCCTAGGAAGGAAGTGTGATTCATGACATCCCTGTTTCTTCTTGAGCTTCCAGCTGTTCTCCCCACACCCTCCTGTACTTGCAGTTTGCAGCTGTACTGAAAGGCTCTTCCTGGCTCCACATGCTGCTATCATACATCTCGTACCTTCTGTCCTGTATATGTATGAAGGAAAAAGTATAATTTTAATCATCTTCAGATATATTGCAATTTGGGGATGACTCCTGCAACTTTTTTGCTTTCAGATTTAGTAAAGGTTGGAGTATTTGGTTTTATTTTTCCTTTTTTTTTTTTTTTCTTTTTCTTTTTTTTTTTTTTTTTTTTTAAATATTGGATTTTATTAAGTGCAACATCCTCAATATAGACCTTGGTAGGGAGTAGATTTTTCATCATTAAAAAAGTATTTCACACCCACATGTAAGTAATTTCTTTTAAAATGAGTTGAGAATATATTTCTCCCCCTGCCTCTACTCCTACACAGTGAGCAGAAAGTCCACATGGCATTCGATGATTTTTATTTTTTAGTGGAATTGCTATAGATTTATTCAGAATACCAAGACTTTGAGAAAGGAAAGTTATGTTTTTTAAGTCTATACCCAGGAATTAAAAAAGGAAACCAGATTTTTTTTTTTTTAAGAAAAAAAAAGGAAAAAAATATTTAACTGGAAATAATATATACTGTTTTCATGTGATAGTTTTAAAAATGTGAAAGAAGAAGCCAAACAGAAGAAGCCGATGGCAAATTTCTGGTGAATAAAACACTTAAGATGTTCACTGATTTCCCCTCTATTACTTTGCAAGTGTGGCATTGATTCCCAGTCACATGCCAGATTTCCTAGCAGCCCTCGGGGGATGGACTCTATAGCAGCCCAGGTAGTACACCGAGGGGTAAATCTTGCATGCAGCTTCATGTGACCAAAGCTGGGCAGACAGAACAGCCTGGAATACTTAATTAAAAAAAAAAAAAAAAACAAAAAACAAAACAAACAGCTGCAAAGAGAGGGAGGCTTTGTAGGGAACTTGTGCTCAGCCTGCCTTACCTGGTGAGAATAAACACGGAGAGAGTGTTGGGTCCTAAGAAGGGCCCACACTTAGAGGTTGATGGGATCTGCTGGTGAGGTCACTGAACACTTGATGCTTCTTACACACTTGGACTGAAAGGCAGAGCAAAAATATTTGGGCAGATCAAATTTCCAGCTCCCATCTCCAGGGTTTTTTTATCCTGATGACAATAAATCAGATGTAGTGGCTAAGACACCATCATATTTGAGAAGTCGTGGTAGTCTGATGAACTTCCCACTAACTGGAAAAGGGGAAATATAACCCCTATTTTTTAAAATGAAAGAAAAGAAGACCCAGGGAAATACAGGCCAGTCAGTCTCACCTCAGGGCCCAGCAAGATCATGTGATGGATGCTCCTGGAAAATATGGTAGGGCACATGGAAAATAAGGAGTTGATTAGTGACAGTCAACTTGGTTTCATTAAGGGCAAATTGTGCCTGATAAATTTGGTGGCCTTCTGCAATGGAGTTACAGCACTGGTAGATAAGGGAAGAGCAAGTCATCTATGTGGACTTGGACAAAGCATTTGACACTGTCCTGAATGACATCCTTGTCTCTAAATTGGTGTCATGGTTTCAGCTCAGAGTGCAACTGAGCACCACAGAGCCTCTCACTTCCCCCTTCCCCCCCCCCCCCCCCCCAGCGCTAAGGAGAAAATAAGCAAAGACTTTGGATATCAAATAGGACAGGGAGGGACGAATCACTCATTACGGTCATGGGCAAAAGACAGGCTCATAAGGGGAAGACAAAAAGAACATAAATTTAATAGAGACACTAACAACAACAACACTTAACAGACAGAGTAGGACAGTGAGAAACATTGCCACATCTTGAGAACATCTTCCCCACCACCCCTCCCTTCTTCCCAGGCTCAGCTCTGCTCCTGATATTTCTACCTCCTCCCCCCAGCATCACAGGGGACAAGGGATAGGGGGTGCAGTCAGTGCTGCTATTTCTTCCATCTTTGGTGGGGGGAACTTCTGGAATGTTTTCCCCCTGCTCCAGCATGGTCCCCCTCTCACAGGAGACATTCCTCCAATAACTTTCTCCAACTGGAGTTTCTCCCATAGGCTGCAGCCCTTCTCAAGCTGCTCCAGTGTGGGGCACCCCCACATGCTGCAATCCTCGTAGCTCTGAACTACAACAGCAGGGGCTGCTTCTTCCCACAGGATCCTAGTCTCCTAAGTGTGCAGGCAACTTAAATACTGGGCCCCACTCCCACAGACCATTTGTCAGCATCTGCTCCACTGTAGACCTCCATGAGTGACAAGGGGGCTGCTCTTCTGTCTCACCACAGGATACAGGGGGGTCTCTCCTCTGGCTCACCTCCCCCACCTCTTTCTTCCTCTGTTCCTCCACTGAAACTTGATGTTCACACAGATGTCACAACTCCTCCTCACAAGACCAACTCCTCCTCCCAGGTCCCTTCTTAAATATGTTATCACCGAGGTGCATCTGACTGGCTCAGCCTTGGTGCAGAGGTAGGTCTGACTTGGAGTTCGGGGAGCTTCAAGAAGTTTCTCACAGGGGCCCACCACTGTAGCTCCCTCCCCTTCTACAAAAACCCCCACCACTCACTCAAATCCAGGAAAATTGGAGAGACGTGGATTTGACAGATGGACCACTCTGGATAAGGAACTGGCTGTATGGCTGCATTCGAAGAGTTGTGGTCAACAGCTCTATGTCCAAGTGGAGTCCAGTAACAAGTGGCATTCCTCATAAGCTGATGTTGGGGCCAGTGTTATTTAATATCTTTGTTGGTGACATGGAAAGTGGGATTGAGTGCACTCTCAGCAAGTTTGCTGATGAAACCAAGTTGTGTGATGTGGTTTACATGCTGGAGGGAAGGAATGCCATCCAGAGGGACCTTGACAGGCTTGAGAGGTGGGCCTGTGCAAACCTCATAAAGTTCAAGAAGGACATATGCAAGGTCCTACACATGGGTCAGGGCAATTTGATGCACAAATACAGGCTGGGTGATGGGTGGATTGAGAACAGCCCTGAAGAGAAGGACTTGGGGGTGTTAGTGGATGAAAAACTGACTATGAGCCAGCATTATGTGCTCACAGCCCAGAAAGCCAACCATATCCTGGGCTGCATCAAGAGAAGTGTGGCCATCAGATCAAGGGTGGTGATTGTCCACCTCTACTCTGCCCTTGTGAGACCCCACATGGAGTACTGGGGCCCTCAAAATAAGAAAGGCATGAACTTGCTTGAGCTGGTGCAGAGGAGGCACAAAGATGATTGGGGGGGTCTGGAGCACCTCCCTTGTGAGGACAGACTGAGAGAGCTGGGTTGTTTAGCCTCGAGAAGGCTCTGGGAAGAACTTATAGTGGCCTTCCAGTACTTCAAGGGGGCCTGCAGGAAAGATGGAGAGGGACTCTTTATCGAGGAGTGTACTGATAGTATGAGGGGTAACAGTTTTAAACTGAAAGGGGGTAGATTTAGGTTAGATATAAAGAAAAAATTCTTTACTGTGAGGGTGGTGAGACACTGGCACAGGGTGCCCAGAGAAGCTGTGGCTGCCCCCTCCCACTTGGAAGTGCTCAAGGCCAGGTTGGATGGGGTTTTGAGCAACCTGGTCAAGTGGAAGGTGTCACTGTGCGTGGCAGGGGGGTTGGAACTAGGTGATGTTTAAAGTTCTTTCTAACCCAAACCATTATGTGATTCTAAGATTCAAATGATCCTTGTTTAGGAATCAATTTCCCCAAATTCCCTGGAAACAGAGGATGATTTGGCATCCTGCACAAACAGCAAGCTAGGAAAAGACATAGTGAAAAGTAGTAGGTAAAGACCATTTTGATGAGCTGTCTTTTGGTTTTGTATTCATGAAGATGTCCATGAAACATGTTTGTTCACATCATTATTTTCCAAGCTAAAAATACAGTTGTTTTCAGCTTTGTTTTTTTTTTTTTTTGTGTGTTTTTTTTTTTTTTTTTTTTTTTTTTGTTGTTGTTTTTGTTTTTTTTTCCTTTTCTGAGGGGGAAAAAAAATAAAAGTTATGAGCAGATCATTGTAGAATCAGTATTTTGTAATCCAGATCTGGCCACTCATTTTGCATAATACTCAATTTAACAACCTTAATTACTACTAATTTAAAGTGTGTATGACATATGAAAGTGAACTTACTAAGCTTGTATTTTAGTAGTATATCCATTAGATTTTTATATGTCATTTAGTAGTTTTGAGAAAGCCTATCCTACCAGAGGAATCATGCAATACACAAGTAGAAATATCTAAGAATACATAAACTATGTAAAACTGATTTTTTTCTCCCTCAAGGATTAAGCAACTTTGTGTCAAACAAAATACAAACCTATGAAATGATATCACTGCACATTTTGGGAAGAAATTCAATGTCCATTATAATCTGCCATAGTTGGTATTCTAAATATCAGAGGAAATTATAGACAGTAAATACAATTTCTCTCTGCATGACATGGTTCCACTCACAGTTAGCTTCTAAAGATGGCAGAAAAACTTCTTCACGTCCGTGTTAACAACAGAGCATCAGGGAAGTACCCGGAGATTGTTTCCCACTTGGTGGGAATGAAATGATTACAGAACAGATAGATGGCTTGGGTATTTTCAATCTGTGGACAAGTGTGGAATTAAAAAGAAAGGGTGGGAAAAAAAAAAAAACAACAAACCCCATCTCCTCCCCCAAAAAACAAAGGAAAAGATGCAGAAACTTTAAATTTAAAAGTCAGCAAGTAATCCTTATAAAATGGAGCAGTATCAGATAATCTTGCCATACAAGCAGCCAGCCCTAACGAGTGACACATACATAATGTAGAATCTATCACAGCAAACATATTTTGAGTAAAATAGAACACTGAGACAAATTTCATTCAACACTCTGTTGTTAGAATCAGCTTCTTGCTTCATTGATGCAACCATGCCCTATCTGTGTTAGCTGCCTCTCCCTGGCTGTCCCTTCCCCACCACATCATCTTGAGCCCCTTCCTCTTTTTCAAGCCCTAAATGTTTAGTCTTGTACTATCACATTTGCTATCAAGGTTCAATCTTCACTCTATCAGCGGAGGCATCCACAATTGCCTGCTTATCTGTTCCTTCCTCGGGCACAATATTCCTTCTTAAGCTTTTCTGTACTGTGTCTGCAAATTTTCTGCATCTATCACTAGATAAACAATTGGTTGAAAAACTAATACTCTAAACCTTGTTAATGACATTGTAGAAAACCTACCTGCCTCTGTCTTCCATTGGATTCATATGGAATCTAGATTGTGGGCTCTTTTGGGAAGAGACTGTTTTGCTTATTTTCAGAGTGATTATCACGATGGAGACTGATTCTTGACAGAGCTCCCTTGGAGCTTATAAAATTACAAAATACAGGTTTGCAGGTCAGTCATTATTTTGGGTTTCTGAGGATATGAACATGTCTATACTTCACAAATAAAGCATATTAATTTTCAGTCTAAAAATATGACTTTCTGTATATAAGATACATAAGTGTCAGATTTTCTCATATGTTTTATATATTGTGTTTTGGACATTAACTTTAAAGACAACATATTTTTGATACTATTCAAATGTTTATTTAAATCATTAATATTATAGATGACGTAACAGCAAGTAGCTTTCTCACCAGAACTCATTCTGATTTCCCGTGTCTTTTACAAACTCATTCTCCATTTTTCAAATTTTTTGTAAATAAGAAATGATAGTTGCATATCATGCTAGATTTGCTGTAGTAGTAGCAATGTATAGGTGGAGTACCCAGATATTAGACAAACACAGTCTGGTCAACATAGGTCTGTATGCACAGTAAAGCTATATGTCATATCTCCTCCTTGCTCTAGCATTGATCAGTAGTACAGAGAGCAGTAAAAGCATCTCTTATGTAGCAAGTGGAATGTGTAAAATAAGTAAAAAAAAAGTTTAAAATCACCAGAATCCATGTCAGATTCAGTCAGTAACCAAAGTTCTGAGGAAATAAAAAAAAAAAGATATTCCAACTCAAAGACTGAAAAAATTACTTTTCTCATATTTTTGTTTGTAGTGAACTTAAATGAATGACACTCTAATTTCATTTATCTCTCCATTGCTAAGTTTTATTTTAATATTTTCT